AAAACACACATAATGAAATTATGATTTGGTGAAACATATATATAATTATATTTGGTTAACTCAAAGTTGAAGCACATTGTGTAGAGTGTACAACCGTGTAAGTATCTACACGATATCATAAACTTATTTAAGATGGTATACAATATCAAAGAACTGAAAGAACAAATCAAAAATGCATGTAACTGTCATGTTTATAAATATTATTTAATATTTAATATAGGTATAATATTATAGTCTTATATGACATGGATATGATATACTTTGATTTTTAAATGGCTAGGTTAGGTATTTGTATTTGTATTTTAATTAAATTTCACTGTATTTTCCAAAGCCGAAGAAATAGATTTAATTTTATAGCGCTTTATGACACGTTGATACCTTAAGCAAAAYTGCTCTGGATCAACTATTTTTCTCTTGTATACTTCTGGAAAAATTGAAAACACATAAAAAGAGCTTCGTGAATCTACAAAATGGATACTACATATTACACTTTGCAGTGTACACTTTCGGAATCCATGGACTTCCATTTACCTTGAAAAATAACATAAACCTATTATTTTACAAGTAAACATTTTAATAAAATAATCTTATAAGACCTATGGTTAAATATCTATTTTCTATAGCTAAATTTCATAGTATTAATAATTATTAGGGACATAGAAATTGGGTAAATACACTTGATAGTGGATCACTATTATATTGTGATAGTCAATAATATTAATTGAATTTAAGTTATATAACAAAAAAATCATATTTTWATTAGACATTTTCGGTGTGCTTATTCGCAAAATAATATAATAAGAATKYATCTGATATAAATCTAGGTGGGTACTTATATTCTAAAATAATAGATCGGTATACAAAGACTTAACATTATCTCAAATAATACATCTCAGAAACATCAAATAATATGTGCTCTAATTATAAAATATTAGTTTAACAAACATCACAAACATCAAAAGTAGGTACTTACTCGGTTAACTACTTGTATTCATTTTTCTTTGAAGTCTTTTTTCATATTTTTGATTAGGAAACGTGTAAAACTTAATATTTTGGGTGTTTTTATACATATTATT